AGTCGGCATTACACACTAACTACAAGATTATCGCGGTTTCAGCACTGAGCGGAGAAATGTAGCTAACTTAAGGGTTTTTATCAATTGGATAATGAATCGAAATTTTTTCAACACTCTTCCTGTCAAAGTTTATTTTAAAAAATTCAACAAGCAGACGAAGGCAGGGGTAACCTGCCATAGGCTAACATCTTATTCAGGAAGAGTAAAACCTGATTGGTCTACATTAGAGGTTGCATTGAAAGTCTCTGATGGGTCCCTATGATATTAATGTAATGACAGTTACTACAGTGGGTTTGACCCGAATAATTTTTAATGCATTGTGAATTGACTATCGATTTACTTCCGATTTGTTCTCAGATCATGGAGGAGTCACTAAGAAAGTTTGCCGAGGAAAATTTCGGTAAGGGATGCTTCCCCGCACTTCACGGCGAAATCTATAAGGTACAACCCCTGACAATGGTGGTACAAAAGAATCGGCCTCTTTGGAAGCGACCTTTCGTAAAATTGGAAGTCATAGTCCTTGCAGAACTGGCGAAATATGTTAAAGGAGAGGAAGAGACTGAAGTGTTTCGTGGTTGCTCGAAATGTAAGATCAAAGAGGAAATGCTTATCTCATCGCCGCACGAAACAATTGCCATGGGATTCAGGTATGACCACGCTTTGACCCAATTTCTTCGTGCATGGCACATCAACGTGTTGCATCTTAACGAAGTATGTTTAAAAAAATAAATAAATAAGAAAAAATACTGGCAAGAACATCACGAAAGTAAACCGCAATTTTTTGTAATTAGTCCTGGCTTTCTCGCTGCTTTCAAAACTGTTTTTACCGGACGACGAGTTGAAGCAAGTGAGGTAAAGCTCCCGGTGCAGTGTTGTTTTTTAACATTTACGGAAGGTTTCTCAAAGGTGCATTCTTCGAACGCCTTCAGTCATTCTTCTAATAGTGATGATAACAATTGGTCTTTATTTAGATGAAAACACACATCAAAAGTTAAAAAAAATAAAATTAACTGGAACATTTAAAAATAAGCACTTACGAGATGAAAATTGACCACACTGTTCATTCATATCCGAAAAAACAATCTATTAAGGAAGCTGTTCATAGACGTTCTGAACATAATTTTGGAAATGTGCGTCACATTCAAATGAAATAAATGGAGATTCCAGTCGACGCCATCCACATCGGCATCACCCCTGTCATTGATGTCATCATAGTCATCATTGCTCTGGTTAATTAAGGCCTGGGTCACCCTGCCTTTAACCCATGTTTTTCACAAAATTTAGAATAACTTAGCTATTTTGCGAGGGATTTTTCTCATACTTGGCAGAAATGTGTATCACTACCATCTCTCTTGGACTGAATTGTGGCAGCGTAATATGACACTCTCAACAGCAAAAAACAGTTAATTTAGGCGCCAAATTCGTCGGTTGCTTTCTTGAGCAAATTCCCACCACTAAACACAAGGCAAATCAAAATGCAGTTATCGCTATGAATATTTGAGACGTTTTTCAACTGTTATCGTCCTCATCACTCTCAATGCTACTTTCATCGTTTAAATTCGTCTTCGCAATTGAAAAGTCATAACATTTTCATCGTCCACATGATTTTCAGTATCACTGTTTCTGTCCTTATCATTGTGATCGTCATCATCATTGTCGTTTTGATGTGGTCGTTACTTTCACCGTCTTTTTCATTACTATCGTCGACATTTTTGCTGTCACCGTCGGTTTTGATTGTCATCGTCATCATCGTCATTACCAATGCTGCGTTACTACTTTGTAACAGACCTCGCTCACCGAGGAGTCTCTGTGGCTCAGTGGTAAAGTATCGGCGCGCGAAATCCGAGCGTCTGAGGTTCGATTCCCAGCGGGGACTCAGAAGTTTTTCTTTGTCACACGTTCGTGACAAGACGAAAAAAAAATATTTCTTTATCCTTATTATTGTCATTGACAATGCTATTGTCTCGATCAATGTTATTTTCTTTATCATCAGTCATTGCCTTTGTCCCTCTGTTATTGACATCGTCGTTTTCATTATCTGTGACATTGCATTGCTTTGGGTTAGTGTCATTGTCATCTTCTTTGTCTCTGTCACTGTTATTGCCGTTTTCGCTTCCATTGCAATGGTCGTGTGAAAGTCACTCTCTCTATGTCTGTCAGCAAAGGAGCTGTTGTATCATTTTCTGAACCAAGGAAACACACTTCCTCTTTATTTCCCGCTGACATAACTAGTTGTTATCATTATTTTATATCATTTTGAGTTACGTAGAAATTTGTATATATTTTTTTAAATCTAGAGAACAAAACCTTGGTGTGGGT